CTCGAGTGGCGTCTGTGGCCTACTCGGGTATGTCGCCCGTTGTTTGGCAACGTAGTCTGTGCTCGAGTGGTGTCTGGGGGACTACTCGGGTATGTCGCCCGTTGTTTGGCGACGTTGTCTGTGCTCGAGTGGTGTCTGGGGGACTTCTCCGGTATGTCGCTCGTTGTTTGGCGACGTAGTCTGTGCTCGAGTGGCGTTTGGCGGCCTTCTCGGGTATGCCGCCCGTTGTTTGGCGACGCCTCTACATTTATAACTCAATGTCAAGAAAACAAGAAATACTAGAAATAATTCGACAATGCCATCAGGGCCACAGTAGCATAATGGTCAGTGCATGCGCCTGGATAGCAGAGCATTTTGAAAGTCAATAAATCGCGCTTCATGATGCTTTAACAGAAAATATCAATAATCAACCTCTAGTTAAAGGTACGGATAATCTTGTGCCGTTTCTTAGCAACAGTTGTGATTATAATCTTAAAAATATCTTGGCAACCAAGTTCTAGTAGGTCTATCTCTTGCAGAAGCTTGATCATTGAAATGGACTGATGCTCGTAGCGTTTACACATTCGCCGAGTTGCCCTCCAACTTTTATACTTTTATGCTCGTTTGAAAGAGCTACGCACGCATCACCCCACATATATATAGTCGTGTGACGCTCGTGACGCATTTCCATTTCATCTTTTCCATAGAATTTTTCCATTTACAACCTGTCCGAAAAGAAGTTTCATTTCAAAAAATATTGGCTTAAAAATTATAATACATTCACAAAATAATTACATTGAACAAGAAACAGCCGCCAACTACCACTTCGCTCATAATCGCAACATCAGTGATGCTGCAGCGCTAATATAAAAAAAGATTGTTTTTTTTTTCTCTTTTTAATAAGAAGGATTACCACAATCATTTATGTCAGCGGGCTTTAATCTGCACAAGCGTGACTGGAGTAGAGCAGAACGTTCCTCACTTCATCAAAGCTAAATACTGGCCCAGAGATAAGCCTGTTCCTAATACGGGTTAACTAATTATGTCCTCTTTCACGAGACGCACCATATTAATATTGACACACTGCACACTGCACACAAAAACCTTCCGACATCAATTTGATTTTTCTTATCTTTATTATTTTATTAAAATTATACGTAAAGGCTTTTGTGAAATATTAAAAATTAATATGAAGAATGAATGAAAAAAGCATAGATAAATAATTGATCTTACTGTGGGTAGATCAAAGGAAGACGAAACATATATCTAAGGGAGAAAACTTTTCAAAATAAATAAAATAAACATTATATTTATACGTTTGACGCACACAAAAATGACTCTTCAAGAGAATAACTAAAAAGTCGAATATAGTGTGTGACGTTATGAGAAGCCCCCAACGTTAAGATAAAGGTATTCCTAATCACATAATTCAGTCGTAGCATATATATATATATATATATATATACACATATATTTAGAGCCGAGGTCCGAATCCAGAGACGCCCTCTAATTGAGCCGATCACCTCAGAGGTTCAAGTGGTCTAGAGGCTCCAGACGGAGAGGAGACTCCTCCCGTGGGAAGATGCTATCCACCTGGAATACCTCTAGAGGCACTCGCCAATTCTTGGCTAGAGGTCACTTTAGGATCTCGCCGTCCCCAAACCCGGTGACGATGTAAAGGTCATTTGCGACCAACAGTATACTCACTAAAAAAAAGGATATAAGTATATATTAATAAATGTCATAAAATTTATCAGCAATGTTTAGCATAAAACATAATATGTAAGCACATACACATATCAAAAAAAGTTTGAGATCACTTGCAAAAGCTGATATATACACATACACATATTTTAAAAATTTTACTTAATCGAGAGAAAATGTTTACGTTATATCTTTTTTTATTTAAAAATACACTTTCTGAAATTAAAAAAAAGAACTAATTTTACTTTAAGTATATAAAAAAAAATCAATTCTAAGGCGATTGTAATAGAACTTTGATAGAAATAAAAAGATAGTTTAACCAAACTGAAAAACCTTTAATTAATAAGTTGTTGTTTATATAATACAAAATAACTGCTCCTCTGGCTCGAACACATGCGGAGATCCTCCTGAGCATGCTGAGACACAAGTTATCCAGCTTTTATTGTGGTAACCTGTCCCATTCTTGAACAACAGCTTCCCTGAGCTGCGGCACTGTCTGGGGTGATATTCCAGAAAGTCGAATTATGGTGTTAGTGATTTTTCACATAGAGTTAAAATGTGTTTTATCAATAAGTGAGCCTGATAATGTTCAAAGGATTGTGTTAAAACAGTTGCAATAAATTTTCAATAATACCAATATTACCTCGGTAATTCACAAATTATATTTAATATTTGTTTCACAGAAGATCAACCAGTTTCTACGACCGGACAAGTGCAATATACCATTTCAAGTTGCTGGTGTCTACAAACTTGAATGCGACTGTGGGCTCTCCTATATCGGGCAAACAAAGAGGAGTATAGGGACTCGGATAAAAGAACATATCGCAGATATGAAACATATGCGCGAAAATAAGTCTGCAGTGTGTGAACATGCATTAGGGGGACCAAATCATTACATTAGATTTGATGAACCACAGATCCTTGCAACTGAGCAACGATTCATTCCTAGAATGATACGCGAGGCTATTGAGATTAAAAAATATCCAAATTTCAATAGGGAAGATGGTTGGTATATACCAACAGCTTGGGAACCCATTATACAGGAGATAAAATCCCAACCCCGAGAACACACTCCAAGATCAACAGATACTATTAGTTCTTTTTGTTTGCATAATTTAACATAAGAAGGAGATAGAAAGCCTCTCGAGTTTGTTTCACCGGTTCTTCTCAGAAAGGTCTCCCAATTTTGCAACCTAGTTTACGGTAGTTAGGGTCAAATAAATAAACTCAAAATTACATATAAGAATTTTAAATAAAGTACTTTATTAAGTAAATTAAGTAATAAGTTATACATAGACAGTAAAACTTTAAAAATCGAACAATGAAATAACCGAACGCTCAATAAAAGTCTTTCGAAGGTAGCTCGACAAAATGAAATAAAAAATAATTTTGATTAAGCAGCCTGAAAAGGCTGGGAAACGTCAATAAATAAATAAAGTTTCGTGCATTAACCCGTTAGAACTAGTTTTATTTAATTATATTTAATGTGTCTGTAATGATAACTTATACTTGAGCATTAATCGTTTCTATGAAATAAAAGCAAAGTATTTTTAGTAGTAATCGTCTCTCTCTGTATCAGCTCTGTATTTTCAGTAATAAATAGCACGGAAATTTCCATATTTCCGTCCCATTAAACACTGAACATACGTAGATTTTGAATGTCAACTTTGACTACAAAGAATTTTTTTACGCACACTTGACTTAGAGGGTAAGCTGGCGAATGCGTTACGCGTTACGAAAAGTGTGTTCGGGCGAGTCGAACGGGAGTTGAGTGGGAGATATAAGCAAGAGAAAGCAGTAAAGCGCGCGCACTTTCTTTATGTCTTTCTCTTATAGCTAGTAAATGAAATATATATATATATATATGTAAATACATGTATATATTGAACACACACATACATATATATATATACATACATACAGATGGAGCTTAAAAACTTCAATCCTGTGGTCATAAGCATACTCGTTTTTTTAGCTTTATATATATATGGCCAGTTAAGCAAATGACTCAAGCCCACCTTATGTTAAGTTGTGATGAAGTCCAAACGCGAAGAGCTGGAGAAGCTGGTACAGCAGTTATAAATTGCCACCAACCACCACCAACCCCCAAAATGCTTCTTCACGCCTCTCTTAAAAGACCCCATATTGTAGAAAGGAGGGAATACGTGCGCGGATAAAGAATTGCACTTACGAATAGTTCTACAAAGAAATGAAAAAAAAATCTTTATTATCGTTACTATAGCGTCAATAGAAATACAAATTGTGGGAAAATTTATATGATGTAATGATGTCTTAATTTTGTACCTCAGCTCTAAGTTACATCTTTGCTTGACGATAATATAATTATTTCTTTTTATACAGAAGAAGAAACAAACGGCCTTATGAATGGCCGCAAGGCCGCCCACAACATCATCCGCAATAATTTGAGGTTTTTGAAAATCTCTCAGGAACATAACCCTTTTCCAAGATAAAAATAAAAATGCGTAAATACCAAATTTTATACAAATCCATTCAGTTGTTTTTGTGTGATTAAGTAATTAGGATACAAAACTTCACATTTATAATATCAGTAGGATTAAATTACCCATTTCGCCTGATAATCTGTGTTGTTGTTTTGAATTGAGTTTAGTCGCTAAATTGACAGGGGCCGCAGAAAATTGAGCCGCTTCATTTATCCCCACCTCGTTGGCTCAAGCCCAATCCTCTACCCGATGTGGACCTGACACTTTACACAACCCAACAACCCAATTAATATATTAATTTCAAAACAAAAACGATTTTGTTGGAACAGAAACACAACACCAGCAAAAGATAGTATTGTTTTACTATCTTCTAGGTCTTTTGTAAGTATAGGTTACTGCCCGCGGGGTGGAGCTGTGATTTGAATTTCTATGAAGAAAATCTGATATGCCCTGCCTTTCTCAGATATTTACGTCGTCTACGGGTCGGGAGGGTTCCGTTGATCTATGTAACAGATTTCCTAGAAACCCAATCAGTTTGTCTCATTATTGTCAGTCATCAATTAATCATTGTATTTATTCATAAGCTGAAAGCTAAAGAAATGTTATATTGCGGAAGTGAAAATAAATGATTTACTATTACTGATTGAAAAGTTTACATCAATATTTCTAATTATTTCGATGTGAATTGATTTAATCGGTATTAATCATCGCGGTTTTTCTTTTTTCTACCTCTTTTTCTAAACTTCGCTAAAACAGTGCGTGTGGTCTTTACGGTCAGAGCTACTTGACATTAATATAAGTAATATTAGCGTGGATATGGAGACATCCTGATATTTTTCAAATTTGACATTGCAGGTACTAACACCACAAGATGAGCACCGACATAAAACCGAGTATACGGATGGATAATTTCAGTTCGACGTAAGTAGAAAAAAATATTGAGTAGTACAGATTAATATGTACTAGAATATGCATGATCAGAATTAATAAATAAATAAAAGAAAGAAAAACTTTATCTTTATTATACCCATTTACAGCTCATTAGGTTTTTGAGTGGAGCAGTGTGACATTTTTGCATTTTCATTTATGCGTTTCGACGCACTGACATTTATGTGATAGCAAAGTTCTAAAATTAAAATCAACTAGAGACTTATGAACAGTTCAATCGTTAATCGAGTATAATGTTATTTGGGTTTAAGATATTCGATATAACAACAGCTTGAGTAATCATTTTTGATACATAATTCATTCGATTAATCGTTTAAGTTGTGGATCCAACATTCGTCTCGCTACATTTAACATAACCACAAGCTGGATCAATATTATTAAGAATAAAAATGTTATCATGTGTGCGTCATCATTTATCATTTTCAAGGAATGTTATCATGGATTACCAGCATATGCTGGTAATACTGATAGAAAAACCGGTTACTTTTCAGACAGATCACAAAAATACAGATAAAAAGATAAGTTTTTCCAAACTATTTAAACCAGAAATAAAGTTATAAAATTGTGTTTTCTAGGTTACAGATCTTTTAACTAAAAACAATAAAAAGCTATATTAAAATTTCGAAGGGTTCAATTCTCTTTATAATTATTAGTTGATATAGGGGAAGATTTTCCGTGTATACATGCGATCATTATTGTTTCAGAACATAATAAAAACACTGAAAATGTTTTTATCACAAAATTTACATTAGCTCCTTTAATGACTGAAGAAAGTTCTTATAAATTATACTTGATTACAGTAAATCTGAACAACGTAATAGGTAAATTATAATTTTGTGTATTAGCAATTTATGAACTGATTTGAATAGAAATAATATGTAAATTTGAGAAAGACATGAACTTTCGCTCATAAGGAAAACTTGTCGGACTGCCTCAAAAGACAAAATTGATGCTTATATTTAATGAAAATTTTACTAGAATGAATCAACTTTGTCCAGGTGTCAGACGAGATTCACACCCGAATCTTCAATTTAATTCAAAAACTGCAAAACAAAATTAACAGTTGAAAGATAAATTAAAACGTATAAGGAAAGTGACCCTTTTTTCTCCCACTTATAATGTAAAGGCGCGTACAAGGGCTGAACCTCAGGATTAGAGGTAAACATTATAACTATTAACGGGATTGTTATCAAGTACCTTGTCTTTTATTAACAATAGCGTGCCGAATTTGAAAAATTACATGGACACCAACTGAACCCAGTTCGTGTTTTATTTTAATGCTACTGTCTTGTTTAGTGTGGAGTTCAGTATATCCTTATCAATTGTTATTTTAGTGTCTTATATGAAAATTATCATAAGGTGGGCAATATGCAACTTATAGTCCACAGACTTTCTACTAATGTCGATTCACCTATTTGCTACATCGCAACCGGTAAAACCCCTTTAATAGATAAAAACTGCAGCCCTGCTTACGGATGAAAAAAAGGGCCTTGTGGGCGTCAGACACTTGTGACCGATTTAGACAAAGCAAGATCAGTTATTTCATAATCAGTAGTTCCGAAAGTGGGAGTAGTCGGCGGCACTGGATATAACACAATATAACAGATTACTTTGCCCATTTACAAGAAACTTTTTTAACTATTCCGTGGACGTCCCCAATAGTTGAACAAATCTCATGTCTTACAATTCGTGAAATAATCTTAGATGTTATCATCTTCTTTTATTCAATTACGTATACGATTATGGCTGTTTCTGAAAAGTGTTACACCTCAATTCATAGAAATTGTATCCAAACCACGTCACTGCATTGCAGAAAGGCATTAAAGAAAGCCATAAATAATAAGTTATTTTGCGTCTCTATTAGTTTCCAATATTTTTTCTGACAAATTGCATATTTACCCGTCCGTGACAAAAACGGATACAATGGGAGTACTGATAGATTTGCACAACAAGTACCGGCTCGGTTGACTGAGCACAATATCATCAGTAAAGGTCAAATTAAGAGAACGAACATTGTAAGACCAATCATTGTCTCGCTCAATTCTTATTATGGGTACATCTACTTTTAGTAAATGCACGTAGATGTTTTAGGATTTTGTATACACAGAACTTTGTGGTTGTATATAAGTTCTTTTAGAAATAAAACAAAATATAAAAATATCAGCTGATTATTGAATACTAACTTTTTAGATAAGGATTTTTAACAAGCATTTACAGCTTGCCTGATGATAGGCAGCAACTACAATCGATATATAAGTAAATTATGGCTTGCACTTTCCCTGCCCTCCTCATGCACACTGTAGAGTCATGGAAACCTTACCCATTGACAGAAAAATACAACCAAACAAAAGAGTGTATAATTTATTTCACTATGGTATTTTGGAAGTCCTTAAGTATCGTTGTGTTTCTTCTATTGACGAGTTAGGTTTCCACGATTTCACGTGGTAAAGGATGAGATTTAAGCTGGCAGGTGAGGATGACTGGATGACTTTTTTCTGCTACTTCAGCTGTCCTCACAACCGCATTACTCACTCCACTTACTGTTACTTAAAGAAAACAAAAGACAGTTATTAAAGTTGACGATTAGAATAAATCTAAATAATAAACTTTAATGTTAAATGGTGTTTAATTTTTTTATCTTTTCCAAGAAAGAATCTAATCAAATAAATTACTGCCCATGCTGATAATAAAATCGCAAAAAGTTTATGATCTTATAAAAAAATACTGGTTTAGGCGCCTTTGTGGATTTCCTAGATTCCATTTAAGTCATTTGTAGAACTTGTAATCCTAGAAAGTAAAATTTCTGAGAAAGAAATTGTTATAAAAAATAATTTAAATGCTAAATATCTGTAAAAAGGGTCCTTAATAAAAATGTGTATATTTAATTAAATAAGGCTAGCAAACTTTACTGCTTTGTTATTGTTATTCTCGAGAAAAGTTTTGAATTTAAGATTTTAGAGACGGTACCAACGAATTCACAATTTTAATTGTGAGGAGTAAAAACAATTATTTTACGAGTGGACATTTTGCGAAGTATTAAAGATATGTATCTTTCGCCATCACTCTGTCCTCCGCAAACATGAGTATTGGACCCTGAAGCTAACTCCTTAATTTTTTTAATATGATTTATCCAGGGTTTTTTGCTTTATTTCTTTCCTTCTATTTTCTTTCTTATATTTTATTTAAGTAATCAAATGCCTGATTTTTGTAACCCAAGAAAAAAAAAGAATTGCGATAGACACTGTTTCGAGATTAGCCTGATACATTGACAGATTTATTTTTTACTATAATAAGTTTTTAAATATATAAATTCGTCTTGTCGCACAAAGTGGCCGAACATACTTCTGTTTCTTGAATGTTGCGTAACGTTCTCACTCTAAAGCTATGCTAAAGCAGTGTAAATAAAAAATGATAAATATTAAACTTGTGACCATTTCAAGCTATCAAGAAAGTTACAATCTAATCAAAGTTGAAACATTGTGAATCTGATAAACACGATGCTGTTACAGAAGTGGGAAAACCTAGCTCTCACTTAGATAAATGGGTTAATTTATTTTTTCATGAATTACCGAGAATTTTGTTTAATACCCTAATGTTGAAGGAAGCAGTTCTTTATTTGCTACTCCTAATGTGTAGTTGCATATTAATCTGCTACTAATAAAGAAGTAAATAATTTAAAAAATTAAGCATCCAATATTTTTAAAGATTACATTAACTTAAAACTTATTAATTGCTATGCAAACGAGATTGAAGACATACACAATTTATCAACCAAATTAAGTAGAAAATAATAATGAATTATTATACATAATAGGAAATTTATTGTAGGCATAATTTAATAAAAGATACCTGAATTTAATAAAAAGTATTAAACACTTGTTATAATGGTTCTGTTAATTAAGCAATATATTTTTTCACATTGTTTTTTCATTTGTTGACCGATTGACCGCAGGTGTCAGGTCATACAACTCATACACTAAATCATTATATTCCCAGCACATTCTATAAGTAGGATTATGGGAGGGGAGGAGACATTAATGCCACAGATAGGTATAAAGTAAATATACTCTCGTTTCACAGATCTATTTAGGATCTTGGTACATATCTCGTCCAAAACAGTTGTCGACATAGAGCCGTTAATAAACTTATACAGGCATATGAGGTCTTGAGCCTTGCGTCAGCTTTCAGGAGTCTTCAATCCAAAGACGCACAGATGTTCGTTATAATTTGTTAGTTCCCTTTAAAGCCAAATCGCAGCGTGAAATTTCTAAGAAAACGCCTTTCAACTGATTGAATGAAAGCACCCATTCCAAAATACTATGTTGATATGAATTGTAAGTTTTCTCATGTAATATATGAAATAGGGTTAATTAAGTGGTAAGGTGTCGGCAGGAAGCCTACATGCTCACAACCACTTGCCAACAGTTCCTCTATGTGTTTTACGTAGATATAGAGTATGAGTACCCCGAGCACAAAGCATTATCGAATTCGAATATTTTGCGAGTGTGACATATCAATGTCAATTTTTGTACGGAAACTTGAACATCGGCGCCACAACGGACTTAACGAGGACTAAAAATCTTTACACATTTGACAATGACATTACGCAATCGCAAACTATTCGAATTGTCTTTCAGAATAATATTATCAATAACCCTAACAAAATTGCGACCATTTTTCATAACTATTTTATTGAAATAACGAATAAATCCTATTATATTAATACTAGCGGTCCGCCCTCGCTTCGCTTCGGTGTAGAGCTGAAGTGAAGACTACAGTTTTTGTTCTCAGACTTATATTATACACAATGACATTCATCTATGATTCTTCTTATACCTGCATGCAAAGTCTCAGCCCGATCGGTTTAAAATTGACAAAGTTTCATACAAAATTTCATTCCCTATTTTATCCCCTTGGGGGTAGAATTGATCAAAATCCTTTCTTAGCGGATGCCTACGTCATAACATGTACCT